GAATAGTATTGAAGAATTATAACTTTTAGTTATGAAATTAATTATTAATTACTAATCTAAAATATAGTTTATTAAGATTAGCATTTTTTTTAAAGAATAAAATGAGTAATTCTGTCTTAGACAATATCTTATTAATTTTTATCAATAAAATAGAAAAAAAAAACAAATGGCTGGACATAAAATAAAATTACAATCTAACGATGGCGATATATTTGATGTTGAAGTTGAAATTGCTAAACAATCAGTAACGATTAAAACAATGTTAGAAGGTAAAATAATTGGTTTTATTTAAATAAAATTAACTATAATTTTTTAAAGATCTTGGTATGGATGAAGAAGATGAAGTGATACCATTACCGAATGTTAATTCAGCTATTATTAAAAAAGTAAAATTTGAAAGAAACTTCTTCTTTTAAATAAATAATTTCAATAGGTTATTCAATGGGCAACACATCATAAAGATGATCCACCACCACCAGAAGATGATGAAAATCGTGAAAAAAATACAAATGATATATCATCCTGGGATCAAGAGTTTCTTAAAGTTGATCAAGGAACACTTTTTGAACTTATTTTGGTTTGTTTAAAAATTTTTTTAGACTTAATAATAGAATCTCTTTTTGTTGATTTCGTTATTAGGCTGCCAATTATTTAGATATTAAAGGTTTACTTGATGTAACATGTAAATCAGTTGCAAATATGATCAAAGGAAAAACACCAGAAGAAATTCGACGAACATTTAATATTAAAAATGATTTTACACCACAAGAAGTTCGTTCATTTTTTTTCATTTATCGTTTAAATATAAGTGTTTTGTTTTTCTTAGGAGGAGCAAATCAAAAAAGAAAATGAATGGTGCGAAGAGAAATAGGTTATTTTACAATTTCTGACGTTTTCGTGTCTCACAAGTTGATACTTGCAAATTCTGTGTTCTTTCCTTTTCGTTTTTGCTTATATTTTGTATAATACTGATGTATTCATTATCTTCTTTAACAAATATAGTACGCTAACATTTTTTTGTGTCATAAAAATGAAGGATATTTTTACGGATCCTGATTTCGCATTAAATCAATAATTTAGGTATGTTATAAAACTAAAAATAACGAAAATTACTGCGGTGCAAAGCAATGCATTTCTGTAGTCGGCTGCGTACGCATTTAACCTTCATGCTTTGCGTATTTTTTGCTGTAACAAAATCTTTCGTTTGTATCACAATAGTCTAGCGAATGCCAAGTCGCTAGAAATCCGTTCGAACTATGTCGGAGAGATCCATGTCTCGAAGTGATTCAAATGCTTTTGAGTCTTCAATAAGTTCCACAAAACAGTGATTTGATATTTATCTTTTACTCTAGATAATTAAAAGTGACGAGCTAGTCTCCAGTTAGTTAAACTGCCAGCTCTTATGTTAATTGAAACAGCATAGTCGAAATTTGAGATCATTTCGCACCGTACTTATATAGTGCCTTGCGAATTTTCTAGCTTTTTTGTTAACGAGATCTACACATTAATTATTCATGCCTGGAAGAAGGTGACGAATTTGTAGGAGGTCTTTTTCTGTATAAAATTCTTAAATTTGAAACCAAAATTTATTATATCTTTTAAGCTTTTTACCTTTGTTACGCTATAAATAACAGGAATAAGAAGCTTATTGCAACTCCAGCAACAGAGTCGATATATATCTCACCAAACAAGAATTAACAAATGAAACTTAACATAACGCGCTGTTTTTCATTTGATTCTCTATCTACAGCGATGTTACGAGTAAAAATTTGCTATATATTTAGTGATATCTGTGCTTAGACTATTGCTAGGACGATGGTAAGCTTTTTACTCCTGTTACTCATAGTATAGCAAAGGTATATAACCTAAGTGACATGGCCACTTATGGATTTCAAATATGAGAGTTGTCTGTAGAAAAATATTCTATATAAGTTCACGCTTTTTAAAACAATTCTTTAATACTTCCTTCAATGCAGGACTGAGACAGTGCAAGAGTGTCTATCTGTGATTGGTCTATACATAAGAGACGAATAAAACAATTTTCAACATTAAATTTTCCTTGAAATAGAGTGTCTAATGCAATTCGTTCTGCTCTTGTTACTGATATATTGAAAAATAAAATTAGATAACTGTTATAGAAACTACGTAGAGCGCAAGTTGTTCTGTTGAATCATATATCATAACAAAAATTTCAACTTAGAACAGACGCTCAACAGATTGCAAAAGTAGTTGGATGCTTTAGGAAGAATGAAAAAACGCATGTTGTGATTGTATCATCAATAAAAATTAAACAGATCAATTGGTTGACTCGGAATTGGAACCGGTTAAAAACTGGCGAAAATATGTGAAATTTTTTTGAAAAACGATTTTTAGAAAAAATGACTTCAAATATGAAATACTTTAGGGGCACATGTAAAAGACACTCATCATAATGAATCTTTTTAAAGAGAATCTCAGAAAAAATGATTAATATAATATATGTTTTGAGCACTTTTTTACGCATTCTGACAGAAAAAACATGTGACACCTTAGTTTTTATGGCCAAAAACAGGGTTAATAAAGAAGATTTTTCCAAACTTTCAACCAGTGAAATTCCGATATGTCCCGGTCCGGCCCGGATTCAACCTTAATAGGTTCATAGATGCAACTGAGATGTTTGTAAACCAACCCATGCGTTTGTATAAGTAGGTGAAGTCAATTAGAAAAAATGAATTTTCTGTCAAATTGTTCATCTGTTGTTAACATCCTTATTCATCGTCCTATAGAATCCTGTTCAATTGAAATATTCTATTTTTTATTTTCTAGATGAAATATGTATACTATCAGATTCTCTAATGGCAGCATCTTATCCCTGACACATACGATTTCAATGTACTGGTTATCGCATTGGAACAGCACAGCATCTTGCAGCTGATGTTATAGTAGTTATTACCATCACAATTCATCATGGTACTACATACAAATGATGTTTTTTTATTTTTATTTTTGTTTTTATCGTTAGCATCCATTATTTTTGAATATCCAGGTGATATTAGAATTTCTCGGGTTTTTCTGTTGAAAAAAACGGCATAATGCGCGATTTCACAGAAGATCTGGTCGAGTTTCATCGAAATCTGATATCCATATCTCGAATCGGACTATGTCTGAAATATGCTGGTTCGATCCTTTGAGATTCGCTTATCGGACTACGTCAAATGTAGCGAAATATGGCGCATGAATGTCACTGGAAAGCGTGAGAATTCATCGACTTCCGATAGTAAAGCCTGAAACAGATTATGCCAGAAAAATCCGTTGGTGCGTTTTCTAATTTCACAAAGAAACTTCTCGAACTTTTCAATCGCCAGATATTGCTGATTTATTAAATATTATAGAATAATCTGATTGTCCATATCTTCTGAGTAGAGATATGCATACATCACTATATTCAATTTTCGAGTGCTTAACTATGATAATATATGATTATGTTTTCACTAGAAAGCTTTTGATCGAGTTGTCATGCGTGCCTTTCGATAGGCGTTCAGTGTTACTTATTATCTTGAAGTTTAAAAATGAATTGATCTTTAACGAAAGGGATATGGATCTATTTTTGTTATATAAATTAACAACCCGATTATAAAGTGTATGCCGAGTATGGACCAGAAGCAGCAAATTATTCCAATTGTCATCGAATTTTTTTAGAATTTTACGATACAGCCGTCATATAAGCACTTAAGAGTTGTTCGTATTCATATGGTGCAATCATTGATAGGATATATCCAATTCAGCACTTCAATGGATATTGCTTTCACTAACTATAGGCAACTCATGTAAGTCGGTGCTTCATTTTTTTAATGGATACTTGAAAGAGACGCTAGATTTAGACAATTGATTGATGATAACATAGGAATTAAATTTGTGAAAAGTAATCAGGATTCAAGATTGATTCACAGGTTGACAAAATTAAGATCAGATTCTTTGGTACACGAGGTTCGTAATTTGACACTATTCCTTTATAAGAACAAATTTAGTAAGATAAAAAAAAAAAAACTAAAGTTAAAAAAGTTATAGACATAAAAAACTTAAACCTAATTTTGAACTTGAGGCAAAATTGATCGTCAATAATGAAAATGACAGTAAAGAACTGAACATTGTTTAAAAATAAATAAGAAAACATTTGATGCAGCTTGCTCGAAATCAAACATTATGCTGATAGGTTGCAATTTAATCTAATTTCTATTTGCATAATCAAGTAACTCCTGAAAAAGTAATTTATATTGTTCTTGTTTGCGCGCGCACATTACAATGTAAACAAATGGATAGATTCCCCATTCGGTACGATTGGGAATTGAATGTAATTGAAGAAATTTTTGTAGTGCACTTCGAACGTTTCCATCACCAAGACAATAAAATTATTTACCTTTTCAATATTAAATATATTTCAAAACAATATACTGAACAATGAAACTTAAAATAATGTCAAGGTAACTTGAAAGGTTTCTATTTCGGTAAGTAAATTACTTTTTCTTTATCTCTTTATATTAAAAAATGCTCAATTTTCGACATGTAATCTATTTAATTAGATGACCTTTTATTTCTTATTATTTATTTCCTTATCTTAAAAACGCTGCGAAGCCATTATACTGTTTCCGACTAGAAGTTGTTGGCAGTAGTCTGACGTGAAAATCTATTTGACAGTTGAAAACGTTCCCTCATTAGATGAAATCCGGATAAATGATTTCTGTTCAAACACTTAAACTTCTTCTTCGATGCACCTTCAAACTTGTAATAAATGACTACCTCAGAAGAAAAACAAAAATGTCCGACAGTTATATTTTTTTCTCCTTTTATTAAAATCGGTTGGCACCTTTGGACGACTAGCGACAAGGAAAAAATTCATCAATACAAACATGTATGAAAAGAAAAAACAGTTTACCTACATCCTTAAACCAAAACAAAAGCACACTGTACAGCAGAAAAGCCAAATCAATGAAATATATGACAAAAGAATGGTCACATTAGTTCTAACTAGAAATAAATTTTCTCACAACATCATTATGAATTTTAACAATCACATCCAAAGGAAGTTTCAATCGAGTTAATAAATAACGAATATTAGCTTGATCAGGATAACGTATATACCATTCTCTTAATAACTGATATGCACATTCATGATTGCCATCTAATATTAAATATGTTTGTTGAAAATCTATTAAGTCTATTTCAGAAAAACAAGGTGCTAATTCACGGCCAATGAATTTCCATTGATAACGAAGATGTTCAGCAAGACGATGAATAAGTTTTATGTCATTTAATTTCAACTGGCAAAAACAATACAAGAGAAATTCATCAAAACAAATAAAGAAAAAATAAGAAAGTCTTACATTGCAGTTATTACTAATATTTAAACGAGATCGATCATAAGACAGTAGACAACCACAGATTAAATGATTTTCATTATTCTAAAAATCAAACTCTACATCTGTTAGATTTCAATACATAAGAAAATGAATATTTAATGATTCAATCAATTAAGAATTTCCACTTCTACTGATCAATAAACATTCTTAGTAGAAAAAAAGCACATTATATATCTCCCTTCATAGTATTATTAAATTATTCAAATAATTTTTTTTCTATACTTCTCAACACACATGCCATCGACATAAATTCATTTTTAAGTTTTCTTTTGTATATATATATATTAATATATGAGCGTTGTTCTCTCATCGCAGCCTGACAAGAAAAAAACGTTACTGCAGTTCTGATTACTCACTCATTAAACATCTACTTGATATCTACCTGGTCAGATGAAGTTGATAAGATTTCATATTCTGACGCTAAACTAAGATTGAGTTCAAATATAGGAGATTCGTTTATATATGATCCATTCGATGGATCTAATGATTCAATAAATAATTTACCAATAACCCCTGGACCAATTCGATTATTCTAATCGAAAGAAAAACAAAATAGAAATTTTCTGTTAATAGAAATAATTACTTTTAATTGAAGAGCAAATTGTTTATCAAAATTATTATAACTATGTTTTTTCTTAATTGTTTCCAGTTTAATAAGAGATGAATCTTCATACACATCAACATCTGCAATAAATAGAGATGAAACAAGACGAACACGAATAACACCTTTAAAACAAAAAATTTTCATTCTTTTTTTATCATTATCGAATTCAATTACAAATTCTACCTGGTTTAATGACTTTTGCTATTCGAGTTTTTGCTAATAAAATTGAATCATCATCATCAATGATATCATTGGTTGATTTAACAATAACATCAAGTGTACATTTACATGTTGTTGAATATAATTTAAGATAAACTTGACAATGATATTCTTCTTCAAATTCATATTTTTCCTCCTTAATTATCTTGAATTTATTTTTATGTTGCAATGACCAATCACATGTTGATGGTTTTAAATTTTGTTTATGATTATCTCCTAATCGTTTAATTTTTTTCGACGACAATAAATTAACTTCTTCATCGATAAAACTTCGTTTCATACCACGATGATGTATTGTCGCCATTATTGACAGGACGATCAATAAAAGCGAGGCATATGTTAACCAAGCTTAAATAAAAAAAAAACAATTTAAGTACTTTATCGTACATAAGATTATGATGACAAAATGCCACTTATGTCTTATCTTATTCTCGTCATTTCATTTAACAACATACAACAGATAATGCACCTTTATCTATTGTAAAGAAATATCTTGTTGACTTATAATCAACTCAACTGAAAAGAATTATGAGAATAAAACTGTGTCTTTGTAAAAAAAGAGAATAGCAGTTTTTATTTTGTATATCGAAAAAGAGGAGAAAATTTTCTTTTTCAATTGCTATTGTTTACACAATCAATTAAAACAATGAACATTGACTTCAAACTATCTTTTGTTTTCATCAAATACTTGACAGTTAATTTCATTCAGAATGAGAATGAACGGAAGTCCATTAAACAAAAAAAGAACGTCTTCTCCCTTCAAGCATTGATCGATGGAATATTCATTCCTGCTATACATTTTATCGGTATGTAAAATTTACTGCTCCATATATCAAATACACATGTATACTTCTTGGCTCACCTGTCGAACATCAATCATCAACATGAGGATGTTATTGTCAAGAATTTCATATACAGAATAACTCTATTGAATTTTGTTTTACTTCGAAATAAATATGATACAAGACAACATAGTCAAAAAGGTTTCTTCTTCTTCTTTTGTTCTGCTTGCGTTCTTTCGTAACAGTCAGTCATTTTATCTTTAACAACAACTATTTTCTTGTGTGTGTACTTAGCGACAACGCGTGTATATGTATAGAAGTGAATTTTTTCATCAATACTTTATTTCAACAGAACAACAGAGAAAGTGAAGACGAAAAAGCAGACTGGTAAAAAATGCGATAAAAAGAGATTTCACCTAGGTGTACGAACAATTATATGTATATATCATGAACAGAAAGCACTTGAAATACATTTTATTATAAATTATTTATCAACTTACATTATTCACTTAATGTAATATTGCATGAAAACGAACAATAGCAATTTATTTTCTTCGAGTACAAAGACAGACTTTTTTTTTTAAATGTCTATAACTTTCTTCTTCTCATACATTAGAAAAAAGTTGACTGCCTGTCTCAACTTGTTTTTTTCTTCCTTTGTGTGTTTTCCGTCATAATCAGCATCTTCAATTTTTTTTCTCTTCGTTTCTTTTTATATCAGTACTAAAGGGTTTAATTTTTAACTTTTTTTTTCCTTTTTCTGTAGGTTCTATGAAGAAGCGATAATGCGTAGAACAACAAGAACGAGCCGAATGAACACGGACGTGAGCAAGCTTAAGAAAAAGAGGTAGATAGTAAGAGGAGATAAAGACGTCATTTTTTACGGTCGAACGGCTCATTTCTTCTCCATAGCAAAAATTTTGCTTCACCTTTTTTCTTTTCTTTTTTTGTTCTACATAAAAGTATTTGCGTTTACAGGACTTTATTAAAGCAAAAAAGAAGAATGGGAAATGAAAATGTGATTACAGATAGGAAATGTAGGTGACCTTTTGGATGCTATAATTTAATAAAACAGACATTTCATGAATATTACTGTTTTCTTTCCTTTCAATCAGAACTAAATAAGCATTTTATGTAATGACTTGAAATGACTAACAGAATCGGTTAGCTTTTGTTTGTTCTATATCATCAATTAGATTTTATTGAGATCAAAGAAGAAAAAGAAAAATTTAAGGATATAATTAATTAAATCATAAAATGTTTTTTCGTTTATTCACCACCAATTGTATTTTCACATGCTGAACAACTGCATGTAAGAATATTTTCATAAGGTTTCGACATAATTGTTGTATCACCATTAGAATCGGTGCATGTCATTTTAACTTGTATTGTTGATGTTGTAGCTGGTGAACAGCAACGACAATTGCTTCGTGGAGAATTAAAACCAGACATTGAATACGATATACAACCACCTAAACATTGTTGTTGAGAGATCTTTTCAGTTGAAATACAATTGTCAATAGTAACAAATTCAGCTGGTAATTGATGAACTGAACAAATTTCAGGCTCTATTAAGACAAAAAAGAAACAATAAATATAAGTTCTTATAAATCATATTAAAAATATTTACTAGGAACTTTAACACATGAACCACAACATGAACCATCCGTTGATGGTGCATAATTATATGTAAATAATGGATCTTCAATTTGAGAACATGTTTCATTTGTAATAGCGCAATTAGTAACACATTTTTCTTCAGTTGTATTTAAACATGTACATGTTGAACAACCTTTTTCATAACTTGTTGTTGCTGTACTACATGGCCGACTTTCAATTCTCGTATCATTTCGATCACAATTAGGTCCTTGTAAAGTTTGATAACGAGATTGTATACCATTACATGGAGCCGAACATTCACCAAATGGTGACCAATCAGAATATGTGCATTGCTCAATACAAGGAACTGTTTTACATGTAACACAACCATTTTGGCAAGTACTACAAAAATAAAATGTTTTTACTCAGTAATTTTGAATTATTATTAATAATATTTACCATTCTTGGCATTTATCAGGTACATTAATTGTCTGTCCTGGTAAGAGTATTCGATCTTCATGTGTACATTGACATGTTGATGGTACGACACAATCTCCATTAGCATCCATTACTGTACCATTAGCACAAACACATCCTATTTGGCAAAGTTCTGGTTCGGAACATTGTCCATTGCAAGTTAATGTTGAGCAGGAAGTATCGCATGAATTTGAACAATTACTAAGAACTTTACCATCCGTACAAGTATCACCTGTACATGATTGAGTATTACATGATTCAGATTGTGTTGATGGTTCTTCACAAGGTGCTCCATTGCATTCTGATGCTGGTTGATTACACTGACGTGTACGTGTTCGTTCACCACCATTACAATCAGCTGTACAATTACTCCATTGTGACCATGGTGACCAACTACCATCCACTAAAATTAAATAAAATTAAAAAAATATTTTCTCTTAGGCTTTTTTATTTTTATAAAAATGTAAGATTAATTACCTGGACAACAGTCAATATTGCAATCACGAACTTCAAGAAGTGAATCTGTACAATTAGGTTGTTGTGATATGAAATTTCTTGTTCTTTTTTGTGAACCCAAACCACATGATTTTGAACATGGTGTAAAATCTGTCCAATCAGTTGTTAAACATGCTCCAATGCAAGGTGGTGTTGTACATGGTTGACTTTCCGTTTCTGGACCAACACAGTCGTTACCATCACCTACAGCTGGAATTTTACCTCTTGATCGAGTTTGAATTCCATCACCGCCACATGTTAAACTACATGATGTCCAACTCGACCATGGTTCGAATTGGCAGTCTTCTAAAAGTAAATATTAACTTTTTTAGTAAACGGGAGGAATAATAAAGCAGAATACTCACTATTGCAATTTGTATCCGGTAAAGATACAAGACTTGATTCTTTACAAATGAACTCATTACAATTATATGAATGAATTATTGTATTATTATCCAAATGATCACCAATATGAACGGCTTCAGTTAAATTAGTGTAACCTGTTTGATCATCTTTCTCAATCCACCCAACAAAATCTAGAAAAGTAATATAATAAACATTTTTATATAAAATATTCCTTCTTTTGCATTAGTTTAATATTTACTATCAAGAGGAGGAAGTTCTTGAAACGTAGAAACGTAAATATCTCGTGTGAATATACACGGACAAGGTTCCATTTTACAACTACGTGTTTCTGATAAAGGTTCAGCACAGAATCCAGCTATAATATTACGTGCACGTGCTTGTTGCCCTTCACCACATGTAACCGTACATGATGTCCAATCAGTCCAATCCGAATAAATGCATTGAATTGAAGTTGTTAATGTCGGAGTAACTGTCGTGAACAAAGCTGCACCAGGTTTTGTTGAATGCTCACTTGAACTGAAAGGAGAAGTCAATGGACTTGTTGATACAATTGTATTTGATGATGCTGTTGTTGGCTGAACACAAGCAATGACCCCAACGGTGACCTGTCACAGAAAGCACATAAGTACATATGCATTAAGCATGAATGTCAATTTTTGTTCTATGTAAATTCATAAAAATCTATTCATTGACAAGCTAAAAATTATAATTTTATTAACCCATGAACATGATTACAAAAGTAATTCGAACTGCTAATCAGCGATATCAACAAATCAAACTACTTTCTATATAGTTTTCACTATGATCAACGATTGCATAATGATCTTAGACTCAATTTTCTAAATTTATCAATGTTAAAGAAATCGGTCACGTCTACCATAATACTCGATATAAAATGAAAAAAACTATTCAATCATGAACCATTGATATAAAGCCTTCATTCACTCATCGTTCCTAATGGATAGTACGCGCTCTTTCCACATATGACATTGCACTGAAAATATATCCACACATCAATATGTGCCAATCAAAATAAACTTTAATAATACTTCAGATGAAATACTATTTCTACCACAGAAATACACGTTTCATCAATCAAGCATAAAATATCAGCTGAAACCCATATGAAAAAACACATCTCATAAAAGCGATACTCTTATAAAATCTCACAAATATAGAATGCATACAATCATAGAAACCATCAATATAAATGCATGGTTTTCCCCATATCATCCCCATACTAGAACCATCGGTCCGACAAGCAGCCACTAACACCAAAATAAAAAACTCCAGAAACCTTTAGACAAACTCCACAACTATTGACCGACCTGTAGACCAAAGGAGGATCCGAACAAAACACAAGCTAAACTAACAGGGTCCTCATCAATTACTAATATCTCCCGAAAAAATGCTCAAGCTCATTCATCCTTCAGTCATAAAGTCAAAGAAAAAGAAAATCTCTGACCCATATCTACAATCCACCGCAAAACATTCAACCAGCGCTCACAAACAATCCATACACAGAAATCATCTACTTACGCCTTTAGCATTCAATTTATCATCGGTCGATATGATTGTGATCATGATTATTGTGTTTATTGGAAGTTCGACGTTTGGTGATAAATCAACTTGAGGTGATTTATTTGATGGAGGAACTATGACACTTGTAGTTGGTGTTTTCTCT